ACAGAACCTTTTCAAAAGTTGTAAGAACTCTTAACAGTGCATTGAAATTCACTTGCAGCCAGTTGCACTGAAAAGAAGTAAAAAGACCACCTTATGAATTCATTTCAAAACAAGAAGCTGCTCTTTTTAAAAAAGACAGCAATATTATAAAAGACACAACCTTCAGAAAAAAAGTGTTTGAATCCCTGACATATCCCCATAACCTTCCCCTTGTAACTAATGTAACTAGGAGTTTTGACATACCTCTTCCCTTCCCATGGCCAGTGTCTACTGATACAATAATTCTCGTTTAAAGAATTATTCTTCAAATACATGCTAAGAAAAGAAAGAAAAAAAGAAGTCCAGCAAAGCCAGGATGTACTCTGATGATGAGAAGTAGTACTAGCTTAGGTCTCTGATGCTGATGGTGAAAGAAAGTACAATACTTAAAGGGAAGGTGTTGAGAGCATAGGAAGGAGGTACAGTCCTCTCTCCTGACTCAGTGGTAGGCACTCTGATGGAATTCTGATAAACCTTACCATGGATCCTAACGAAGTAAGTAAAGAACCAAGGCAACAACCCCTCCTTCCCCAACGCCCCCCCCCCCCCCCCCCCAAAAAAAACACAAACTCAAAAATGTCCAAGTAAAGTAGCATTCTTGTGAAGAAACTTGCACCACTGCTGTTCAACCTCTTCTGTTCAGCACTTAAGAGCTCCTCAAGACACTAGAGAAGAAAAAAAATATTACTACTATACTGACCTGTTAAGGAAATTACCTTCTGCAAAGAAATCTGCTTGTACTTGTAACTTTAAAGAGCATCTTTGCACGGAACTCTTCATACTGTAAAAAGCCTAGCAAGCATAGCCCTGGGACAACATGTACTAATCCTATGTCAAAGCCTCAGGAGGTTCAACCTCCTGCTCAAAGCAGGGTCAGCTCAGCTCAGACCAGGTTTTTCAAGGCTTTATCCAGTTGGGTTTTGAGAGCTCCCACGATGGAGATTGCACAGCCTCTCTTGGCAACACATTCCATTTCCCTGACTGTCCTTGTGGGGAGAATTTTTCCTATATCCAGTCTGAACCTCTCTGGCTTCAATTTATGGCACTGCCTCCTGTCTTCCTACTGTACATGATCACTGAGCCCAGTCCCATCTCCTTGATTTTCCTCAGATTCCTTTAGGAAGGCTGCTGTTGCGTCACCCCAAAAGCCTCCTCCAGACTGAACAAACCCAGTTCCCTGAGCCTCCCAGCATTAAGTTTAAAAAAGGTCATTCTCAGTAAGGACAATGCAATCTCAAGCATTTATTACAGAAGTGATGACTCCTCAGACAACAGTCCAAATATAATTTAGCAAGTGGACATGATTTGTGCAGCACCAATCTCTCTGAATGCTGGGGGAAATTCATACAATCAGAACCTTGTGGAATTAAACCCAATTCATATACCACGAGAAACCAATGTTTTCTGTGCTTACTAAGACTGCTTTTATCAAGTATTAGGTGAAATGCTCTTATAAGCAAACTGAATTAGCAATAGCTGTGTACCTACTGAGAAGTCATGTGTTTCACTTCATTAATGCATTAGATATACTCCAAAATAAAACTTGGAGCAAACTGCAGACCTCAAGAGAAGAAAATAAATGAGTAACTCTGTTGAAGAGTATTATGAGATTAGTTTGTAAAAACAATAATAAACTATGGGCCAATATGCACAAAAGACAAACACATAAAACTTCTTGATAATTTTAAATATAGTTTCAACTATTTTGTTCACATTAACCTTGTGAATCATTTGATACACACACCAAAGGGCAATATTAGGTCTTTCCATAAGCATAACACTGGATTTTCATCTGCAACAGCATTTTGTCATAGATCCTAAATTGCCCTTCTACAGCAAATGCTCTACTTCATGAGGTAATATTATCTCTTCTTTAATTTTTAAAATCATAAAGTAATGAAATTCTTTCAAAGATAAATGGGACAACCCATTCACTTCACCCTATGTAAGAACTGGAGGTATAAACCTGCAAGTATGTGAGTGACTATGAATAAGAAATTAGGGTTACATGCTACTTTGATTTATGCCCAAGTATCACTGAAATTCAGACGTTCAAGTTGGAGGCTGTTCACTAAATCTTTGCATTACAGCCATCATGGCAGGTGGATAGCCACAATTTACTATCAAAAGCCACAAACAGTACTGAGCAGCTTGAGCTCATGGAAGTCTCTGATGAGCTGATCTAGGACTGTGAAGTACACCGTATGTCACTGTAGTGACATGAAGATATCAGTCCTCACATGTGCAAGTTTTCCAAACAGAACTTACCCCTTAGGTCCTTCATTCTAACAGTGAGCCTTTAACTTTTTTAGTCTAACAGTAAAGGTCCTGCTTCCAAACCTACTGATAATCTGCCGTTTGCTGTACATTCAGCTGAGATTATTCATTTAAGGAAAAAGCGTAACATAAGGAAGCAATGAAAGTAATGTCTGTTTTGATTTGTTTGCATAGCCGCACCAAATAAATTGTTTTAAAATGGCTGAACAAATTCAGAGTAACTGAGTGCTTACATGAATAATGAGCTCCTTTCCTAACATTGCTCTCCCAGGGATACATTAATCACTAGTGAATTCCATTTGAATTATTTTCATCTATCAAACTGAAACAAGGATACAGCCTACAGACCGTGTTAAAGCTACCTAATGATCTTTCAGTCTTCCTTTTTACCTATGACTTTGCAGCAGATTTTAATACTCAATTTCCATGGGAAAAAAAATCAAAATATCCAGGGCATCACACAGTGCTAGGCCTGTCATTAACAACTGGTGCAATAGATGAACAAGGCAGGACTGCAGAAACCAGAGGCATAATTCATTTCTTATATGTAACATTCATTTAAACAGGCAAGAAAGACAAGGTTGAGGTTGGGCTGGAAATGCTTCAAGGAGAAAAGGAGTGTCGTGACTAAAAGCAGGAAATGAAGGGGGAAATGAAGGGATAACAAGCTGTAATAGTGCTGTTGCTTACTGATACCTTTAGAAATTTATTGGGTTTTGCATGAGTATAGTGATAATTAAATGGCAATTTTCTGCACCTTTGATGCATGCTCTACAAATACACAGTGACAGCCATAACCCTGAAGAGCTTGCAGTCTGAACAAATGGTGTAAAAAAAGGATAAAAGGCTCAGACAGAACCAAGATGCCCAAGGCTACACCACTTGCAAGTGACAAGAGTGTACTTTTACTGCTGTAGCTATTGCTTCATCCTGTCTTCTCTACTGTAGAAGTATAAAGCAGTTAGGTTTTGTGAAGAGAAGAACCCAATGAGAATCATAAAATCAACTCGGTTGGAAAAGACCTTTAAGATCATCAAATCCAATCATTACTCCACGACTGCCAAGTCCACCACTAAACCATGTCACCAGGGGCATCTACACGTTTTTTGAATGCTTCCAGGGATGGTGATTCCACCACTGCCCTGGGCAGCCTGTCCAATGCCTAACTACCCTTTCGGTGAAGAACTTTTTCCTACTATCCAGTCTAAACCTACTCTGCCGCAGCTTGAGGCTGTTACCTTGTCCTACCACTTGTTACCTGGGAGATGTCAGCCCTGCTTTGAGCAGACAGGCAGGTAGGTCTGTGGCTTGCCTGCCACTTGTTTTTCTGCATGGACATGCCAGAGCATTACTGCCAGCTGCTGGGTAACACCCTGGAGACCAGGTTCATGCCCATTTGCCTAGAGAGACAACAGTACAGCAAAAATGGTATAAGACATGACAGTGTGTCTCACTCCTTGGCTCACCTGAATTCTGTCCCTGAGCATTCTGGCTGGGGTAGCTGCTAGGTATTTCCCCTGAGCAGTTTCAGATCCATTTTCTGCTATTCTGGTCTGAGACTCCTCAGTTGAAGAAAATGAAAATGGAACTAATGAGAGCCTCCTCCGGAGCACTCCCCCCTTCTAGCTCTACCATCATCAACAGCACCTGCACCACTGCTAGACCCACCCAGGGGAGAACGTTGACAAGACCTAGGACGGAATAAGAGTAACACTTGTTATCAGTGGTGGGAAGAAGCTAGTCACATACCTGCTGTGCCCGTATTCCACCTGTTACAGTTACCCAAGGAGAGCAAACAACTCAGTCTTGTTTTATCTCAGCTGCTAACTTTAGCATCAGGCTGCAGCTGTGAAGTTCACAGTCAGCCCAGCACAGACATTCTTCAAAACCCATGAATTATTCTTAGTGCAGCTGTTCCACAGGGTACAAGATTGCTGTGATGTTCCTTCAATCTAATTGAAAACCACCTGTGCTATCTCCATGCTCTCTGTCTTGACAAGGAAGACTTCTTTTTAATCCCCAGATCAGCCTCAGTAAGCAGAAGAACATAAACATGACATCTACGAAAGGTTAGTTCCCACAGATCTCATCTCTCATGTTAGTGTTTACCACAGACAACTTGTCTTTCACCATTTAAAGTTATTTCTCAAATTACTCAAAACCTCTAAATACATGTCACTGGATTTTACCCAGACTATTTTATTACAATGGCAGACATTAGGCCTACAATAAACTCACGTGCATAAAAACCCATAATGCCTGCCAGCAGACCATATCCTTTGCAACTTTTTTCTTTCTGAACATTAAGAGTCCCATGTTAACAAATAAACAGTAAGAAATATCCTCCCCCCCCCCCCCCCTTCCCGAGGAAATTATACACCTTCCCTTCCCCCCCTTCTCCCTTCCGACTCACTATTTTTTTTTCACACATGCTATCTGCAATGAAAGAACATGGAAAGAGGTAGAAGAATCACACACATCCTGCTTCTAAATCTCAAGCAATAAATCTCTCGGGCGTAGAAATCTCCTTCGCAAAGCGTAAACAGCAAACTAGAGCATTCAAATCTGTAAATACAAACAGTATACTACAGCTTTCCTTGTGTGCGAAGGAGAAGCCCCTCTGCTACTTCGCATCCCCCGAAGGATGGACGAGAAGATTTTGGCAGGAAACCCGCTTCGCTTACCTTGATCATGATGGCAAACGGACGGTACCTCCCTGGCGCGGCTAAGCGGACACTCAGCGGACCGCCGCTCGTTTCGTGCAGCGCTCCTGATGAAGCCCCAGTGATCGCTGAGCCTCCGCTGCAGCGACGGCTGCTGCACACTGCGCGGGCTCAGGGCCGGCCGATCCGCCTGCGGGCTCCACCGAGGCGGCGGCGGCTGCTGCGGCTGCTGCTGCTCCCGCTGCTGCTGCTGCTGCTCCCGCTGCCGCCGTGGCCACTGCAGCCGCTTGCGGGCTCCGATTGCATCAGCGGGGGAGGGCGGTGCGCACGGCGGACGCCAACGGGGAAAGCGGCGAGGGGCTGCGGGTGCCCCTCCTCGCCCCTCCCGGCGGGCAGGCACACCTCCGGCCACCTCCCCCCGCCTCCCCCCTCCGCCTCGCCCTTGGGAACCACCGGCAGCGCCCCAGCCGGGGACGAGGCTGGCGGGAGCTAGACCTTCGCGCGCACCGATCCGCAGGGCCAGGTCGTCTAGAGGGGTCAGTCCTGGTCCATGGCTCGTCCCTCAGATGGCCCCACATCATACGCTGTGCCTAGCAGCCAGAGACAGTTAAATGCTTGTGCTATAATTTATACCGAGGACAACACGTTCTTCTTACCCCTCTGTCTTAGCAAGCATTAAGAAACTCATCATTTTCAGTCCCTGAGTCACTTCCTCCTTCTTGCATCCAAGTTGTCTGACACATCAAACACCTCACAGTTTATCCCTCCCATCACTACCAAGCTCTCCAGCTGCAAGACAGGTTTTCCCCAGGCCTTCTGCCTTCCACCACTACATGCACAACTTGTGCCGTCAGCACTGGCAACGAACACAGGAGGGGCCCACACAACCGTTCTATTTGGAGCTGGCTGGGATTGCCAGATGTTTCACAACGGCCCTCTGGGTCCTCCCCCTGCTAACCAGTGCCTAGTCCATGCTGAAGCCCATGTAGCTACAACTCTGCAGCTATTCAGACCTCAGGAGGCTGTCTTGGGGCCAGCTGTATCTCTGATTTCACTGAACAGGTACCTGGCAAGCAGGTGACCCGCACCTGAAGCGGAAAGCATAAACATCAAGGACCAGTCTACTCCACTACTACCATCACTGCTGCCAGTGAAACTGCACAGTATTTTTACAAGATGCTCCCAGTATACCCACTGTATGACATTCACAGTATGCTTACTTTCATCTTTATTGCATTTATAGTTGTTTTCTTCTTTTACTATTGTTTTTGTAAATGTTTTCCCCTTCCGATCTGCTTGAGAGTAGTTGTAGGAAGCTGTTTCATCTCAACGCTACTGTCACAAGTGCCAGGTTCTGCTTTGCATGATGTACGCGAATTATTCTCTCTCCTACAGCGCCAGAGACTGGTTACATAAACAGATACCTGTTCCTGACACTCTTCAGCCATGTATAAAACCACTATTTAATGGAATTTTACAAAAATTTGGACTCCAAAGAAATGACGCTACCTAAACTAAAAGTCCATGTGAACAGTGATGTTGTAGTGGCTATTTAGGAGAGAATAAAGATGGAGCAAAAACCAGGAGGCAGAAAGGCAGCAAAGAAGCATCAGAGAGAGGCATAATTCATCATCAGTGAACTACTACTCAGTGCTCATGAGAGCAATCCGATCAATTCCTGATGAATTAGGATAATTATTCTTATTTAGATTACAAACACAGCATAGGACCAACCATACCGGACAATTCAGGATCCTGCCTCTGACAGTCGACAATAATGACGCCTACAGAAGATTTACAAGAACAGAATAAGCACATAGGAGCACACCTGATGTGCTCTTCTAGCTTCAAGGGCTTTGTACCACAGCAGTTTCCCAAAAGATGAATTATTTAGGCTTAACAGTTAATGGAATTTTTGTTCCTTGAATTTATTGTTCCTTGAACCCATGCAAAATTTGGCATCCCTAAGATCTTGTGCTGATGAGTTTCCATAGAACAATTTAGCTTTGTTCTATGGAAAAATAGATAATTATGGTTTATTTTGAACCTGCCACTTAAAAATTTCACTTCATGTTCCCTTCTGATACTGTGAAACTGTAAACACAAATGAAGGTCACAATATTCACCCCATCTATGTCATTTGTGATTTTAAAGACTGTTGAACTGTCAGCCATTCCCTTTTTCTAGATGAAGAGTCCTAATCTTTTTACTCCTAATATAGGAACAGTTCCATACCCTTGATCATCCTGGATTTAGAACAGGGACATGAAGTACAAAGACTCCCAAAATGCAGGTTGCCATATTTACTTTTAATTTGCTTTTTTGTCCTGTTTCTTTTCCTAAGAATGCCTCCTGCTCTCTTTCCTAGTTTGACTGTTCCTGTACTAAACTGAACTGATGTTTTTACAAACTATTTAATTCCAGAATTTCCCTCCTGCAAGGCAACAGGTCATTCATAATCCATCACTATACATAGCTTTAGCTTTCTTCCCCTCCCCCCCCCCCCCCATGTGCAACACTTCATACTTGCAGACATTATTATATATTATTTTGGCAACTGTGTACTCAATTTCATAAGGTCCTTCTACAGCTTTTTGCAGGTAGCTCTAGTTTGGCTGAACTGTTTAACACCATTACCCTGACGGTTTTAATCTCATCAGCAAACTTTGTCCTTTCTCTATTTGCCTCCATTTCCCTACCATTTTCTCAACTGCACAACCTCTCTCTCTTCTATTTCTTATCTTTTAACCAATTGAGAGCAACATAAAAGCATCTTCACATGGGAGCTTATTTTTTACAAGCCTTTGTGTCGTGGTTTAAACCCAGTCAGGCAACTCGTTCACTCACTTCCCCCCCTTTCTTGCCCTCCCCCTGCTCTCGGAGGGACGGAGAGGAGAATCAAAAAGAATGCAACTCCCACGGGTTGAGATAAGAACAGTTTAGTAACTAAGGTATAACACAAATCACTACTGCTACCACCAATGATAATAATGATAAAGGAAATAACAAGGGAAGAGAATACAACACCTCAGCACCAGCCGACCGATCACTCGCCCCCCAAGCCCGACCAAGCTCCCAGTTACATCCTGGGCATGACGTGCTGTGGTATGGAATAGCTCTTTGGTCAGTTTGGGTCAGGTGTCCTGTCTCTGCTTCCTCCCAGCTTCCCCTCCTCCCTGGCAGAGCATGAGGCTCACAAAGTCCTTGGCCAAACCAAAACATCTCTATCAGCTCTGTTCCCGAGCCGAAAGTCAAAACACTGCACTGCACCAGCTACCAAGGAGGAGAAACATGACTGCTGCTGCTGAACCCAGGACACTTTGGTAAGGGACTGTGTCAAGTCCTTTGGAAATCCAAGTGGATCAAATCAATTGGTTCTCTACCATCTGCATGTTCACAGAATCCTTCAAAGAAGTTTCTAGATAGGCAGGTTAGAATTTCCTTTCAGACAAGTTATGTTGAGTCTGCCCTTTAATGTGTGATTTATTCATGTATATTTTGCATTCTTTAGTACAGGTTCTACAGTTTCTTCAGACTTGCTCCAGTATCCTGAATCCCTCTAGAACAAAAGCTGTTTGAATGCCGTTTCATTGTTCCCAGACCTCGGCTTGCCAGTCTGCACAGCATTGTGCTTGAGCCTTTTTTCTTTCTAAGTTGTCTGTTTCATGCTCCAACATAGAGATGTATTTCAAGTTATCCTCAAACTAGTACCAACTACTGAGGTAGACGGCAGAATCCATAGCCTGGACACAACTAAGAAACAGGAGAAGGAAAGGGAAAGGGGGAATATTATCAGAACTACAGAGGATTTATGCAAAGCCAAACCACCAAGTTATCTAGGATATCTATTAAAACAAGATATTTTTATTGATAGTCAAGCTGACCCCGAACTTGGAAATAAAAGTTGGAAAAAGGAGACCAAAATTCAGAGAAGCTACAGAACTTACCTCAAAACTTGCATCTTGCTGAAACACCCCAAAACCTGAAGCTACCATTAGTAAATGTGCCATACTTATTTTTGCAGCATTGGCTTGCACTGCTTCAATGTAGTTACACTTTCTTATGTAACGCTCCAGATTTTACAATGCAAGGGACATTGACTTTCCTTTTACCTCTACCTCAATCAGTTGTATTGATCCATCAGTCAGACCATACATTTTCTACATTCTGAATATTTCATTTTCATAAAGCAGGTAATTGCTCATTTCTATGCTAGATTTTCAATTGACACAAAGTATTCAGTGAATGCCTGACAGCACTGGTAAACTTTAGAAGTTTTAATGAGTAAGTTTTACGCAGCTATGATAGAATTAAGTAATTTACGTGCTTAGAGTCCAAAGTGTTTTTGTTTCCACAAGTTCTAGAGATTCACAAGGTGAATAGGAGTTGTGATACCTGGGGCTGTAGGAGCAGATTATGTTTGTAAAGGTACCACAAACCCAGTGATTAGTACGTTTCATGCTTTTTGTTGGTCTGCACAGAAACACAGCATTCCTTCTGCTTGCTCTGGGCTCTTGAGAGAAATTTTTGCAGAAGACCAAAGGGGTTTCAGTCATGCACATTATCCAGACCAGAACTGGACAAACTTATATTTTAGCCACAGAAATATGAGGAACTACAGTTGGGAAAATGAAAAGGCTCTATGATATAAAGCCAAATGGGGCATTTTGAAAGAGGAAGCTTGTATAATTCCATAATTCTACAAGGAATAGGGGCAGAAACCCATAGCTTGGCACACTTTCAAAGGCTCCCTTTTCTAATTCCATCTGCACAAAGTGGATGGGGTGAACACAGGCAGAAACCAGGTTTTCCATTTAAGAGAAAGGTGGGATTCTGTGATTTTTCATTCATCAAGTTTGCCAAAGACACCAAGCTGTGTGGTGCAGTCAACATGCTGGAGGAAAGGGATGCCATCCAGAGGGACCTAGACACACTTATGAGGTGGGCCAATACCAACCTCATGAAGTTTAACCATGCCAAGTGCAAGGTCCTACACCCACATCGGGGCAATCCCAGGCACAGCTACAGGTTGGGCAGAGAAGAGATTCAGAGCAGCCCTGAAGAGAAGGACTTGGGGGTGTTGGTCAATGAGAAATGGAACATGAGCCAGCTTCAGAGTGTGCTTGCAGCCCAGAAAACCAACTATATCCTGGGCTGCATCAAAAGGAGCAT